GGGGAGGTAGGACAGGGCTAGATTGTGAGACACCGCCCACAGCATCCTAAGGAGTTGCTGCGTGCCCTGTAAGCAGCAGAGTTCTGCAAGAGGCTTTTAAGCAAGGAGGTGGCAAGGTGGACTTTATTTTTCAGAACTTAATTCTGGTAGCGATGTAGCAAATTCTGTGGGTCAGCGTCCTGGCCCTCAAACTGAGTAGTTTAAGGTGAGATGAATAAAAGTGCACGTTTGCAGAGGCATGGGCAGGGTGAGGGAGACCAGGGAATGGTGCAGCACCCTAGGGCTAGCCACACAAAAGCAGGAGCCACACGGACTCAGGAGAGGACCTGGGCCAGGGAGAGGGAGCATCTGACAGGCTGTGCAGGGAGGGAGCCAGGACCAGTGCCCCGACCGCTCCTCCCTCCCGCTGGGACTCCCCACTGGCCAAACCCACCAGAAGCCGAGGACATGGGAGCCACTGTCACTGTTCGTACTGCTCATCCTCAGAGCCACTGAGCACAGGGGAGCCCCGTGGACAGTGAGTGGAGGGGAAGCAGGAGGAGGCAGCCCACACGAGGACCAAGAAGGGAGAGGGTGGGGAGAGAGAGGAGAATTGTCCTGGCCCCGGGGGCTACGTGGCTGTGGCCTCATGACTACCAGAAACCGTCCAGCAGGTGGGACGACCGCCCCAGACCATCAGTGGGGAAGCTGCAGTCCAGAGAGGGTCCAGGCTGGACCTGCCAGAAGAGGGGCACAGTCCCGACCAACTGGGCAGGAGCACGGCCTGCAGGAGTGGGAGCGTGCAGGGAGGTGGAGGATGCCTGGGAGGCATTTGGGGGGCAGAGTCCCCCAGACTGGGTAAGTGGATGAACGTGGAGCCGGAGCTGGCTGAGGGGCAAGCTGGGCAAAGCTCAGCCCCTCATGGTGGTATGTACCCCCATGGCACGAAGTGGGACAAAGGCACTGGCCATATTTCTCCCCCCACCCTCGTTGGCTCCTCTTTCTTGCCAAATCAAGCCTCTGGCTGTGTGCTTCCTCCGTTCTGAGGGTGCCGTGGCACCTGTGTCAGCTAGGGTCCCCCAAGAAAGGTGCCTGGGTAGACTTAGCGGGAGATTTTGGCAGGGTCTGTCTGTGAAGGGTGCCAGGGCAGGAGTGCTGCCAGGCTGCAGTGGAGTCTGACACCAGGGCAGGAGTGGAGGACCAGGTAGGAGGGGGTCTCCTAATGGCGGCAAGGCTGACGGGGAGCGCATTGCTGAGAGAGCCACTGGAGGACCCTATGCCAGGCAGCCGAGGCCTAGCTGTAGGGCCCTGCTGTGTTCAGTGGCTGGGAGCACCGCTTGGATGGCATGGGCACTGTGGAAGGTCAGAGGATGTGCCCACTGGGGGTCATCAGCCCCCCCAGGGCAGGTTGTCTGAAGGGAGACGGGAGGGCACACAACGTGCAAACTCGCACCCTGTCCCCCCGCCTGAAGTTCCACGCGGCCCCACAAATAGCCCTGCTCACCCGGGACCCTGTGCCACCACCCGTGAGGTGTTCTCTTGACCTCCTGTCTCACCCACTCTGACCGGCTCCCGGCTTCTCCAAGGCTGCTTCACCAGTGAGCGCAGCAGTCAGCGGGCATGCATCCCATCACGCCACATCATCAGTGCTGCTGCCCTGTCACCGTGTCAGCCCCCCTCCCCCTCAGTAGACCGCGCTTCTAGAGGGCTGGAGCCCTGTCCCTCTGGGGCCTCTGCACACCAGCGTGGAAACGAACTCAGGACGTGCTCCGTAAAGAAAGACACCTGATGGATCCGGCTTCTGCTCTTGCGAGGCCTCAGACCACCCCAGTAATAAAAAGTGCTCCCTGCATATGAAATTGGGCTCTCCTTGATCTTGGGATTCCACTGTTCACCAGAAGAAAAATCATCACATGGGAATTGCTGGGTTCGTTGGTGAAAATACAGGTACAAGATAAAAATATTTGATGTTGGAAAAAAACAACCACCCTTGGAAGATTCCAGAGTACTTTATAAATGAGGCTCATTATCAAGATTACTGGCATTTAGATCAGGAAGTGAGTCACTAGGTAATTAGATGAAGGGGTTGCCAAAGACCCAAGGCTGCCTGCAGACTTGGAAGGAGGGCTGAGAGTGGAAACCCGAGGTATTTTACAGGTTGGAATGGAGCCCTCCATGCTGCACATAGCTCACTCCACGCTCCATGGTGCCCACAGACTGCTACGTGGATCCCAGCAAATGTGATCCAGGCGTCTGGCCCCGGGGCAGAATCCTCATAGGACCAGGTGGACCAGTTGTGAAAATAGCTGGCTGCGCCGGACCATTTCAACAGATGTTCCCAAATGCACTTCTGCGTATCAGGGATTTGGGTCACGAGGAGAAAGTGCAGGGACTAGGAGAAAGGTCTGCACTCCTTCCAGATATGTGGACATGCCCACGAAGCTCTGTATGTAGCCCAGGACACTGTGTGTGTGTACATGTGAGTTCCCCTCCACATCCCAAGCCTGGCAGATGTGATCGGAAGTCAGCCGGGTTATCTTATGACACCTGCACAATGTTTCTAAAAAGCGAACGTATGAAAGTGCTCCGTGAGTTTCCTAGAGCTAGCACAGCAAAGTCGAGGTGCGGGCAGGGCCTCGCTCCCTCCGAAATCTGTCAGGGATATCCCTTCCCCACCTCTTCTAGCTTCTGGTGGTGCCAACAACCCTTGCTGTCCCTTGGCTTTGCAGACACGTGACTGTAATCTTCCTTCTTAACACGGCGCTCCTCCTGGGTCTCTGTGTCTCTCCTCTTCGAAGGACACCAGTCATGCGGGATTAACAACATTAAGTCTAACCTCCTCTTAACTACCCACATCTGATGACCTTATTTCCAAATACGGTTGCACTCTGAGGTTTTAGGGGTTAGGATCTGACCATAATTTTCGGAAGTTAACCCATAACCCCTGTCTAAATCAACAACAGATTCCCTGGCCCTGCCCCCTCCCCCAGGCCTGTTCGGCAGAGGCACGCACTCCCAACCGTCCGTGTTCCTGAGCACAGTTATCATTACTGCCTGAGCTCCCATCTCGTGATGTGGTGGCAGGTGAGGAGTCAGCAATCCTGCACCCCCCATCATGTCTCGTTAGATCAGTATTTGGGGGTGCAGGACCACGGTAGACACCGCTCACCGCGGAGCGTGTCGCCCACTTCGTGCCCCACCTTTGCCTGCATCCTTTAGTTCCGGAAGTGTTGCTTTGTTTTTCACTTGAGAATCTTTCTCTGGACCTACTCATAGTATCACCGCTTGTTCCCGAATCCTGCTCACGCTCCCATTAGTAGTTCCATTCAAATGCTGAAACGTTCTCCTAATCTGTCGATTCCAACCTTCTCTTGCTTCTGTGGGGCTGGTGGTCTCTAGGCCCAACTTCGGAGGTTCCTTCGTGACTTTCCTCCCTTGGGAAAGTTGGGGACAGTGTTGCTCCAGGCTGGGGAGGAGGGCTGGTCCTCAAAGAGCTGGCTCTGAGGGCTTGGTACCCAGAGTGTTATGCTCGGTTCTGGCTGAGAAGGGCAGTTATCAGTGATGGGGTGGCTTCCGCCAGCCAGCACAACCCAGAAAACAGAAGCAAGGGAATAATCACCAAGAAGTAGACAGAAACAGGGGAACAGGGCTGTGCGGGCAGGGGCTCTGGCGGCGGGGGGTGGTTGTACGTACACGTGGAAGGAAGCAACTCACAGAGACCCAGGAAGCAGGCGGTCGTCTGCCAGCAGGTGGCAGGACTCCAGCTGCTGAATTAGGGTCCAGAAACCAGAAAGATTCCCGTCATTTTGTGGGTAAACAGGGGATGCTAGGGGAAGGTGGTAAGAGGTTGGCAAGGGCAAGGCAGGACCCGGGCAGTGCCAGCAGGGGCATCGAGCTGCTCGCGCCCAAGGCAGGAAGCACAAGGCAGGGGCCCCCAGCCAGGAGTTGGGGACAAAGGACACTTGCATGTGTGGTGAGAGCCCAGCGCCTGACTCCAAGCGCCCTTAGCACAGAGCCAGGGTCTATTCTCCAGGCTGATCCCGGAGGACCCTCCCAGAGTCTGCGGTGGTTGGGGGTCACATGGTCCAAGTGAGGGGCAGATTGTAACAGAGGACAGGGACCCCGCGGGGCCTGGTCTCCAGAACGGCCTCGGCTACTTTGCATTCCTGGCTTTCGGTCGGCAAGTTTGACAGACCGGACAGTTCTTGCAAGGGCACTTTGAGGCTTTCAACATGGCCATACTGCCCATGCACTAAATAAAGAAAAGCAATAAACAGTGACATCCGAATTCCAGTATTTCCTTCAAGTGGAGGTTTTCGTGCTTGGAATGGCCCGAAGCTCGGCTCTGGGCCACAGTGCAACCGTGGTGTGCACTCACTCGCCCCTCCCTTCTTTGGCCTTGCAGGATGATGCTGAAGGAGCAATACATTGACCAGGCACGTGTGGCCGTGTTTGGGAAGGTAAGCCCGCGCCGAGCTTCGTCGGAGCACGCCGTGCCCCTGACCGAGAGCACTGCCCAGCACCATCACCCAGCCCCGATCGGATTTGTTCGGAATGTCTCTGGTCTGACGCTGTGAGAGCAATGACTTTGTTAAAAACGAGAGGGTGGACGCTGAGTGATTCCAGCAAGGGGGGCCCTGATTTGACCAGCTCACGTATCGGAGTTTCTTCCTACATTATGTGGAAGGAAAGAGAGAGAAGCCAGATCCTGTGAGAACACTTGATTAGGTTCCTAATTCCTTTCCTTACGGAAGCCATAGTGCCTGGTGTGGTACCCCAGGAAACAAGAGTGGGCAGGGGTCTTGATTCCTGTGTATCTCCACATGCAGTGGCCATGTTAATTTACCAGGTCTGCCGACATGGAAGGAGGGGAGGAGGCTGTTCACTCTCCAAAGGGTGGCCCATGTCCATGGGCTGTAGCTCGTGTGGTGAAGGCCCAGGGCTGTGGGTCAGGTCCATGGGGGCCACCTAGCATCACCTGGGCACAGGCCCCCCAACCCCCCACCCCCATTCTTATGCTGGATCGGTGGCCTCCTGATCTCAAGGGAGTGAGGCCCAGATGGAAGGACACAGACCCGTCTCCCTCCCAGAGAACTATCAGAGCACAGGCCGTCCAGAGGCACCTTACAGGGACCTCACGTCAGGTGGAGGCTTCAACAGGTGATCCTAACACTACCTCTTATGTCGTCGCCTCTGGAACCCCCACGCCCAGCATTCTCAGAGGATAGTGTACATTTGAGATGTAGTGATCCCAGACAGCCTCCTGGAGCCCTCCCACAGGCCCCTTGGCACCTCCCGAGTTGAGGCGGTGGAGGGGAGGGCCCGGAGGCTTCTCTCCGAGGCTCAGGGACAGACCAGAGAGTGGGCGCAGAATCCTAGAGGCTCCAGTCCATAGAGACCCACTCGCTGCCCGTGAGGGGCTCAGAGCGAATGCGATCATTCGTAAATGTGACTTTGGGTGTCAGTGTTTATCACCCATCTGCACCCACATGGGAAGGGTGGACTGCTGAGCCAAGGCAGGGACCCTTGGCCTGGGCCTGCCTCTGGTCAGGGCTCACTCCTCAAACACACACGGAGCCTTTTCAGACCGGCTGCTTTCACCAGGTAATATGCATTCAGGGTTCTTTTCGTGGCTCGAGAGCTTATTACTGCTCAGCACCGAATAATATGCCAGGGACACCGCTTACGTGTACACTCACCTGCTTCCAAGTTTGGACATTTACAAATACAGCTCATATGATCCTCCATGTACAGGTTTTTGTGTGCATACAAGTCTTCACCTCCTTTGAGTAAATACCAAGGAGGGTGACTGCTGGATGATACGGTAAAGAGTATGTTTCGTTTTGTAAGAAATCGCCACACCGTCTTCTAAAGTGGCTGCCCCGTGTGGCGTCCCCACCACACTGAGTGACGGGTCCTGCTGCTCCCCATCCTCACCGGCGTCTGGTGTTGTCAGTCAACGCTTTTTTGAAGACAAGTGGCGGATGACCTTTGAGGACTTACCGATTCCATTGACAATGAAAGTTATCAACTAGAAACCAAAATGACGCTTTTATTGTCATTAAGACAAGCTATCCATGTTCTATGGAAGGGACGGCATTAGATGATCATGTAACTAACGTATAGGTCCTCAACAGTTCATTCCACAGTGAGGCTGGCGCAGCCTGGGCTGCACACATAGTCTCCATCAGGTGCATGGCTTTCCACACTCGACCCTCCCACCCCAGCGCACACACTCCCATACACACACACACACACACGCACACACACTCCCATACGCACGCACCCAGCATACACACAACATCTGTAACGGCCCCCAAGCCCCCAGGAGAACATACCTGGTTCCCTTGAGGCTTTGCTCCTGCCCGTCCCCACGTTTGCTCACCACAGTTCCCCACCTGTGTCCCGTCCCCTTCGGTGCTTTCGGGAGACAGAGCACATCTGAGCCAAGCAGCTTCGAAGGCGCCCGTGGTAGATAATGCGTCACGTGTACTCTCTCTGGAAGGCCCTGGTTGAAGTAGGGGTCTTGCGTGTCAGCCCCAAGTTAAGGGCAGTATAGGACTTGAAGGAACTGCCCATGTCCAGCGCCCACATGGACGCCTGTCTCCACAGGCCCTGAGCCAGGCATCCTGGCAGACCGGTACCTGAGCCCTTTGAGACAGGTTCCTTGTTGGCCCTCCCCCAAGACCACCTTAAGTGGTTTGGCTTTGCTGGAGATGGGAAGGCAGCAAACGCACTGCAGGGAAAGGCTGATTTGGAAGGGGCTTGATGATACCCTGACATGCACACAGCACATCCTAGCCCACGGCCGTGGCTGCCCTCACGCATCCTCTGCGCATCGCCTGACACGAGGCCCCAAGAGAGGAGGCGTGCGTCCCATGTATCTAGTTGGGACGATGCGTTGCCTTTCGTCTGTTTACTTTTTAACAGAAACTTTGTGAAGATGGTTGCTGAGTCACTGATCTTACATCTGAGGCTGGTTTCGTGAGGGCAGCACTGACACTCCGCCTACTCACCCCGTTTCTCTCTCTCCCAGGATTATGGCGGGTACCTGAGCACTTACATCCTCCCGGCGAAGGGTGAAAATCAGGCTCAGGTTTTCACCTGTGGCTCTGCTCTCTCTCCAATCACGGACTTCAAGCTCTACGGTAACAAGTCTTGACACCACAGACCCGGCCCCATGCCTCCCTTCCCACCACGCTCCCGCCTGCCACCCCCGCTCCGCGCACCCCCCTCGGAGGGGAAGCCACAGGGGCCGTGCGGCTAACGAGGAACCTGGAGAGAAGCCTCGGGGCCCCCTGCTGTAGCGGCCACTGAGGAGCCTCACATGCATGCGGACAGGAAGGGGCCGGCTGCGGTCCCGCTGGGGCCGCGTTTCCCCTGCCCCCAGAATCTGGGCAGGGGCGCTGCCCGGGCTCTGTATCCGGGGCCTGGGGGTGTTCGGGCAGGGATTCCGTGATGAGGGCTTAGGGGCTGAGGGGCTGCTACTTGGTGGCGATCAGGTGCAGACCTGGCAGCTGAGCTGTGCCCTGCCTCCACCCGCTCTCCTCCTGGTGGGGCAGGGAGTACCTGGTCAGCACCTTGCCTAACGGGCAGGGCTCAGAGGCCCGGGACGGGGCATCAGGATGGCTGGCCGTGGGGACCAGACGGGGGGGCCGGCCTTCCAGGGGTGGGAACCGGACCTCTGTCAGGCACCGCCCTGGCTCTTTGGTCACAGCTTTGGGATTCGAAGCTCCCTACATTGTCCTGGTCAGCCGGCCCCTTTTCTCTCAATGTGAATGGTTTTGTGACATTCGTGCTTTTTTTTTTTTTAAATGTGTTGGTGAGGTATTCCTTGTGGACTTTGAGAACTCGCTTTCGGGTGGAGGCTGGGAGGCCCTGGGAGCCCAGGCTATTAACCCCAGCTACGCTGCACAAAGCAGCACTGACTACTGGGATCAGAAATGGAGAGGGCTTCTTGTCGATGGTCGGCCAAGCCTACAAGTACCCTGGCCACACCCGCCCCAGTGGCCCAGCTCAGCACCCCGGGCCTCACAGGGTCCGGCAGCCCTCAGCCCCCTGGCTCCTGCAGCCAGAGTGCTCACAAATGATGCACTGATGTTTACAAAGTGCTCTAATGCAAACTTCACCTTACAGTCCTATAAGAACTCTCCTCATTTAACATTTTAATAATTTAAAATTAATTTTCCCATGGGAAGACGTAGCATATTTCATCTTTTTTAAATTCAGTGAGACGTCCTTAATTTTTTTAATCATGCTATTTCAAATTTGCCTGATTTGAATGCACATAAATGTACCATCCTATACCTTGGCTGGTCACAGTGCCCCACACAGGGAAATCCTCTGCTGTCTCTTCCCCTTAATTAAGGATGTCCCTGCAACTTGCAGAAGCCTTTGGAGCTCCTTCCATCCTGACTTTCCTGACAGGGCAGATACCAGGTCCTCACCCAGAACCTGGACCCGGAGCCAGAGTTTTGGCTAGAACGGGACATGCCTAGCCTTTGAAAAAGAACAAGAAAAAAAAAATCAAATCCTGATGAAAATCTGCTCTTTGGGATTTGTTGTCTTTCCTATATGTTGGAACAAAGTTGGGGGGGGTGACTGTTATCCTGTTTACTGAGGATTCAGATGCACTATTTCACTTGATTAAGGTTCGCTATATTGCTTAAAACCCAGCCACCTACTCTAGCATATTTGAATGTTACTACGGTGCTGTCTGATTACCTGGGTAAAGACCTGTAGGTTGAGGGGTGTTTTAGAAACAAACGTTTGCCCTGCAGATGAGTGCACAGCCCCGCCCCCAGCCCCATGCCAAGGGTGCCCCCTGCGTCTGGGGGCTCTGCACCCACTTGCCTCAGGTAACCCTGCCTTCCTCTGCTTGTGTCCAGCGTCCGCGTTTTCCGAGAGATACTTGGGCCTCCATGGACTTGACAACAGAGCATATGAGGTAGGTATGGACACCCCCGCCTCCTGGCAGAATGGGGAATTGGGTGAGATGGGTCCCGCCCCTCTGACCTTGGCCCAACTCTGGGACCCACACTCCTTCCCTGGGCCCACTGTGCTGTCCGCCTCCCCCACCAAACTCACTCTGAGAAGCCCCTCCTCCACGCTGTGAACTGAGGGGACCAGGGCCTCTCCCGGGTCCGTCTGGTTTCCCTCTCTGGCACCCGAGGGGCGTGGAGGGGAGTTGGGAAGTCTTTGGATGGATGGAGGATCTGTCCCAGAATCCACAGTCATTGGGCACTGACGACTGCTGGTCCCCTTCCCCAAGGCTGGTTCCACTTTGGGAAAATAAGCCATTGATTGGGTGACAGAAAGTCCTCTGATGTCACCTGCTCCGTCATAGCCACTGAACTAACTCGGTGCAGGTGTCACGTGGGGTGTTTCTTGGCCGGCCGCAGAGCGAGGCCACGCTTCTGCCGTGGGGGGCGGGGGGCTGGCTTCGGAGCCGGAATCCGTGCTCAGACCATGGCACCATGGGGCCAGGTGGCACCTGCTGGAATGAGAGCCCTCCGAGGCCACCTGCCGCGGGTGAAAGCGTTCCCATGCTCCCTTCTCTTCCACCCCTTCCTCCTCCTCAGGGGCACCCCTGCAGGGCGACTGAGATCTTCCTCCTCCTCGGGGGCACCCCTGCAGGGAGGCTGAGCTCCTCCTCGTCCTCGGGGGCACCCCTGCAGGGCGGCTGAGATGCGCTGTGTGCGTCCCTCCCACAGAAAGCCCACCCCCACCCCATCCTCCCGAGACTGGCCCCAAGACCGCCAGCTACCTTCTCAGTCAGGGGTCCAGTACGAACCCCTCACTAGCGGCCAGAGGCCCACTAACTCTGTCCCCTTGCCTGCCCATGTGCAGATGACCAAGGTGGCACACCGCGTGTCAGCGCTGGAAGAACAGCAGTTTCTGATCATTCACGCAACCGCGGATGGTAAGGACCAAGGATGTCACTTCACAGCATCGCCCTGATGGTGTTAGGGGTTTAACCGGTCCTTTCCTCTTTTTTTTTTTTTTTCACAGAAAAAATCCATTTCCAGCACACGGCGGAACTCGTTACACAACTAATTAAGGGGAAGGCTAATTACAGCTTACAGGTAGAGTATCTGCATATCTCGGCTCCACACTTGGAGAGAGACATCCTTTCCGTGGATAAAGAACTGATCGGTATTCAGTTCATCCCATTTCTGCAGACGCACCTGTGTTACGGTTGTCAGAGGCGGGCCGGGGCGCATGGGGCCAGACGAATTAGCACATGCTTATTTTCTCTAGTAATCGATGGTGATCTCTTGGTTCTGCACTCGAGCCGTGTGCAAACCCCTTTAGAGCTCCACCGCCCCGCGCCTCCGGGCAGTGAGCAAGGCTGAGACAGACACCGCACCGCCACAGTGAGGCTGGTGGTGTCCCTGCGGGTGAGGATGGGGCTGTTGTCCCGGTGTTGATGACAGCAGCATTCTGGGGGAGTTGGGGGGCTTTACATGTGTAGGTCCCGAGCCTTCTCCACTAGCCTCCCTCTGGACAGCACCCCACGTTTACTAAACTCTGGCAGAATGTTCCAGAATCATGTGTGGCTGAGCAGCAGTTAGAGGGCTACCCTTCCCACGAAACAGACTCACAGCCTTCTTTTCACTGGTGTCAAGTACTAACCCAGCAGCTCAAGTCTGGGCTCCTTCCAGTGAGGCACAATGTCGCTTCTAGAAACATCTTCTGTTTCCTTCCTGACCATGGGTTCCTTTGGCAAAACACGCATAACCCCGATGGTCTTTTCAGGTCTAGAGATAAATGGGAGATTTCCTCCGCTAGGCACCTGTCCCTCAGATAGCACCAGCCCCGGCACGGATTGCTGCGTGCCTTCTGTCCTGAGCTCCCGGCCTTCCCGCATCACCGTCTTGGAGGGTCCCATGCGGGCTGGGCCAATCAGGGGGAGCTTCCTGCAGGGAGGGGATTTGGACTGAGTGTTGATGAATGGGGAAGGAAGGACTTGGTTAATGTTACCTTTGAGCTTGCTTCTGAAAGTGCTCAGATCATAGTAAAGCTGATAGTTGCCATGGTATTGTTAAATACATTCTAGACACATAATGCCGCCGTGGCAGGTTAAAAGGTAAATCTCCACGCGCTAATGTGGATCACTCCCCAAGGTGCGGACCAAGCTAAACCAGCAAGATTTTGAGCAAGATGAATTGTAGACCACACTTGAGACAATAAAGGGACCCCAGCCCAGTGCCATGCCTGCAGGCACAGCAAATGTCTGCACAGATACTCAGTGAATGTGTAACAGTGATCAAGTCCAGGGAAGGGCATAGGGACTGGGGCCCTGGAGAGAGGGAGAGGCGTACATCCTACCTTGTGTCCTCTGGTACTACAGACATAACAGCTCCATTCCGTCATGAATAAATACTCTAAAATAAAGGTGAACACCATCCTCCAAAGACATGGAGGAAGACAGGATTCCAGATGCTGGGGGCAGCCTGGTATCATGGAAACAACGTGGGCTTCCAGGTCCCTTAGACTTGGCTTTGAGTCCCTGCCCAAACAGGTACCGTTGTGTGGAAGTGGCCGCACCACCCCTGGGGGACGGGGGCCGTCCTTACACCCAGTCCCTGTGTCCTCGGCTAACTCTGAACACTTCACAGGGAGTCTGTCGTTGAATCCTCACAGAACTTTATGAGCTGGGTTCTATTACGATGATCATGTCCACTTGGCACAACTGGAAACTGAGGCTCGGGAAAGTTACCTGCCCACGGTCCCGGGGTGAGCCAGACGCCGGCGAGGGTTGTAGAAACAGCACAGACTTCTTCCCATGTCTTTGGGTCCTGGTCCCAGGAGACCTGGGCCGGAGCCTCTCTACAGTCTGTTGAACCGAATGTGATCTAGTTGAGTCGGCCCACGCCCTGCAAGCCCACCGTGCCCCGCAGGGCCTCCCAGCAAAGGACGGGCTGACGCCTGCCCCGGGGTGGTTTAGGAGGTCCGTTTTGCAGGCTGGAATGGAGCTGTGGGTGCGCGGTGTCCGGGCCGTGCTGGGTCCGAGTCTCACGAGGGTCCCCAGGGCCCCCCGGGTTCCGCTGCTGGCGAGTAACGTCTCCCTGGCTTCCCCGCAGATCTACCCGGACGAAAGCCATTACTTTCACAGTGCCTCCCTGCACCAGCACCTGTACCGATCCATCATCAGCTTCTTTGTGGAGTGCTTCCGCGTTCGGGACAGGCTGCCCACGGCCACAGCCAAAGAGGAGGAGGAGGAGGACTGAGTGGGCGCCGGCCCTGAGCGCCACGGGGGGGGGGGGGGGGGGGGGGGGCCCCGGCCCGGGGGGGGGGGGGGGGGGGGGGGGGGGGGGCCCTCCCAGGACCGCGCGCAGCCGGGACCCGCCTCCCTCCCCCGCAGAGGTGGGGGCGGGGGCAAGAAGTGGGACTTCCCATAGCATGTGTGTCTTACGTCCCGAAGGCGGTTTTGCTTCGGAAACCGGCTCCTTCCCAGGCCGAGGCGCGTCATCGCTCACCAGGGCTCCCAGGCACCTGGAGCCGCCGCGGCCTCGCCTCCTCCCGGCCCCAGAGTGACTGGCGCAGCCCACGGCCCCTCCCCAAGGAACAGAGCAGAGGACGCCGCGAAGAGACTGGCCCTCCTGTCCAGCTGCCTCGCAGCAGCGCCAAGGCCCCCCCCTCGCTCGCGAGCCGCGCCCGCAGCAGCAGCGCCCACCCTGTCGGACAGAACCGCGCCGTGGAGACAACTATAGCACAATTATTGTAACAGTACTTGTCCATAGATTGGCTTTTGCTCCTTTCTGTAATTAGGAGATTCGGCATTTTAAGGGGCTGCACAGAGTATTACTGTAGCTAATGCTAATGGTTAACCTTATGGAATTAATTCGTATTTTTCTATGGTTTTTACCTGACACTGAGGGTTGTTTGCTGTGCTTGCTTTCTTCCTTTCTTCTTTCTTTCTTCTTCTTCTTTTTTTTTTTTTTTTTTGGCTTTGTTTTGCTTTGTGTTCTTCAGTCAGTGTGTAGGCTTTGCACTCGTTTGGATAAACAGATCAGAACTAACTAACTGCTCTCTCCTCAAGATTGTCTTGAGACTTCGTGGAGAAATTTCAAAAAACTGAGGGGGGGGAAAGACATCCAATACCATTCACTAAAACAAAAGTCATCAATAAAACTTCTTTCCCCCAAAGTTGCATTAGGATTTGGCTTAGACTCACACGATCTCTGTATGTCTTGAAGCCCATCCTTTCCCCCCTTGATGAGTTGTTGAGGCTTTTCAGATGGCATTAGGTTAAAAAAAAAAAAAAAAGACAAAGGGTTGACTCCACCCCTGGGTCTGTCGCATGTGCAGGGGACAGGCATCCTCTGGGGACGCGTGGGTGTGTGCGGCCGCCTCCCGCCCTGGGGACGGCTCAGTGCCCTCAGCACCACGTGCAGGCAGCCTGTCAACGTGTAAGAGGTCCCCTGACCGAATGTACAGCCGGCACCCCAGTGTATATTCCGTTGTGTTGTGCATAAAGACCGGATCGGCGCTGCCCCTGTACCGGCTTTCACCTTGTCGTCTGCATGCCGACACTCGGTGGCTGACCTGCACTCCCCACAAGTGCTAGTTAGAAACCTATCCATCACTGCTGTTTCCTTTGGAGCTTGTCGACAACCTGAATGTCAGTACTGACGTCTCCAGCTTCCGGTCCTGCCGGCGGGGGCGGGGGGGGGGGGTCCTCGATGTCCCATCAGCAGAGAAGATTTGTCCATGTAGCTTTTTGGCATTTGGGGGTTTGGGTTTCCTCCATGTGAGTTTTGGATGTCGGTTGCGGTTAGTGCAGCTGGAAGGTCTCCATCACAGATTTGTTCGGGCGAGACGTCACCGTGTGTGAAAAGGACCAGCATGTGAGCGGCAGGACCCACTCTGGCTGCCACGTGACCGTGTTTCCGCTACGTCAGTGGGCTTGACCGGCTGCAAAGCCAGTGAGGCCTGACAGGGGAAGCCAGCTTTGGCCGCGAGATCTGGCAGGGGGACGGGAGAATGTGGCATGGTAGCATTTGCTCATCCATGGAATAAAACGCTATTTTACCACTCGGATAGCTCTTTTCTTGCTTATCCTCTGCCAGCCCTCCTTAGAAAGTGTGCAAAGCTTGATGTCTTTTAAAGTACTTATCGAGCCCTACCCAAGACGGGCGCACATCCCTAAGAGCCTCCTGGTGTGCAGCAAAGGAAAACCAGATCCGTGGCGGCAGGGTATCAATAGCAAGAAGGATAGGACCAACCAAATAGATCGAAGTCCCGAGTCAACCAGAGAAAATGAATTTGAGTTGACTCTTTTAGGTTTTAGGGTGAAGACAGAGATATTCCCTAACACAAAGAACAAAATTGGCTCTCAGTTGAGACTGTAACATGGCCCACTAGAAAACTCTAGAAAAACCTCCATGTGTTGGGGATTCCTCTTTGGCATCTCCTAGGACATGGGCTCTCACATTCTCAGAGGTGTGCATGTGGGGGGCACTCTCCCCACTGGCCTGAAAACATGTACACCCCTCCCTCTCCCGCCTCGACCTAGCAGTCCCAGAATGATTTCGTGATGGGCTGATTGCCTTCTGGAAGCCCCTGTTAAAACCCCAGTGTCACAGAGAGACTAGAGGGGCATTTCAGAGACTCCCTTGGCGCCCCCTCCATTAGCACACCATGTGAGCTCTTAAGATGATCACAGGAGAGCCCGGGAAGCCTGGTGAGAGACTGGCTATGCAGACAGGAATGTCCAGATCATCTATAAATGCAGAACTCCGACCCACAACACGCAGCCATCAGCCCCAAACGACCAGACTTGATCGGTAAGGGCCAGCTGCGCACCACCGCCCCCCCCAGCCCTGCCTCCAGCTGAGGGCCGATGGGAAAGCCAGATCCACTCCCCCCGGCCAGACCTGTAGGATCCTGCTTCCAGTCAGCCGCCCCGGCGTCCCTGCGCTCACGGCCCCCGGCGGGGCGCCCCTGACCCCCTTTTCCACCGTGAGGCCGTCCCACCCCCGTGCCTGCCTCTGCGTCCCCACCGAGCGCGCACGACAGCGGCAGAGCCCGCGCTCCAGCCGGCTCTGAGCCAGCAGCCTCTGCTTCTCTCCCTTGGGTGGTGTCTGCTCAGGCTTCCAGAACAATATACAACAGGCTGGCGGCTTAACCAACGGGAATGTATTTCTCCCAGTTCTGGAGGCTGGGAGTCCAAGTCCAAGATGGAGGTGCCAGCTGATCGGTTCCTGGTGAGAGCTCTCCTCCTGGTTCCTAGTCCCCGTGGGCAGACAGGGCAGGGGACAGGGCAGGGAGGGCACTCTCTCTTCTTCTAAGGGCACCAACCGCTTCATGGACGTCCCACCTTCATGACCTCATCTAAACCTAATTACCTCCCCACCGTCCCACCTCCTGCCACCACCACACCGGGCGTAAGATTTCAACTTACGAATTTGGGGAGGACGTGGTCAGTTCCTGGCAGGGGGTCTGTGTTTATTTTCCTCCTGCCAGAAAGTAGGTGTTGGAGAGGAGTTGTCCAGGGGCGCATGGCGCCCCTGGGGTCAGGAGGGGAGAGGGACGGGGAAGAGGGAGAGCAGAGGGAGGAGGGGAGCGGATTGAGCAGCGGTCCCCACTCCAGGGGGACTGCCTCCAAGTGGAGCTTCCCAGATGGGCCCTTCTGCAAACCACAAGCTGCAAAACTGCCATTCACCATCAGCCTCTCGTCAGAAAGGGGATCTAAAGCCCGGGTGGGTCATGGGTGCTGCCCCCAAACCCAGGGGAAGTCAGCAGCAACGCCGTGGGCCTCTTCCCCCCGCTGGGTTTTCTCGGGGTATCGGCTCCAAAGGCCAGGGCTCCAGCCCTCGCGGGTGCCTCTGGAGCTCTCTGCCTCCCAGCTTAGGAGTCCCAAGCCTCAGGCCAACACGGAGCCAGACTTGGTGGAAGTGGGTGTCAATGTCCAGTTTCTGGGCCAACAACGAGTTCAGAGATGCGTCCAACTCCTGCTCGGTTCGGCAGGGCGAGGGGCCTGAGTCCCTCACTCTCTCTAGCACTGAGGACGATTGAAGGCACCTGCTTGCAAATCTTATCACCTGGTACAAATCCCTTTTTTTGGCACTTTCCTTCCCTAAAGCAAAAACCAAAACCGGACAAACTCCAACAGCTGTCGCCACTGTCTCCAAGCACCAAGCTGGGGACAGAGTGCAAGTTTGGGGTGAGTCAGGAAGCACCGTTCATCTCTCTGGCTGCTTCCTTCCTGGCCCACAGGTCACCCCCTCCATGCTTAACACCGGCAAGGTGGGTCTTCGAGGGCTCAGCAGTGTGGCCTGGGGTGGGCGGGAGGCGGGGAAGCTGAGCCCCCTGCACCACTGCCCCATCCAGCTCCGTCCTTGCGTCCCTGTCAAGCCTCTCGACATCTCTGGGTCCCATTTTTCACAGTAAAATAGGACAACGGCAACGGTCTTTGTGGCTGCACCAGGCAGCTGTGAAAATTCAGCAAAATGTACGTGACGCACGAGGAGCCATGGAAAAGCGCAGGAAGCAGGAGAAATTCCGGAGACGCTGCCCTTGGAATCAGGAAAGGCCAAGACTCTGGGCCACACCTGCTGCCCGTCCCCCCCACCCGAGCCCACCACGGGTCCCGGGGACTCCCACGTGCAGACACAGGACACACAGGAGCCTGAGCCCCGAGGTCTCCCTGCTCCCAGTCCCCTCCAGCTCTCTGGGGTGGGCAGATGTCCCTGCAGGGCTGCCATTCCTGGCTTCCAGACAGGACAGGATGTTTGTAGGCATCTGGACCCAGGGCCTAGGTCCCCCGGGGATTCCAGGCCAGGTGGGGCAGGGCCGGCTCATGGGGAATTCTGGAAGGCCATACACTCTGGCGACCAGGCCAGAGCCTTCACATAGCACTTTAGCCCCGTGACAAAGCAGCTGTTTCTAAAAGACCTGCGTCCGTGGCCTGTCGTATAGCCAATAATCAAAAACGTTTCTAACACTCAGGCTGGCCTGCATGACCTCGGGTCCTCACTCCAGTCACCTGAGGCCAAGGCAATGCTGGAGCAGCCAGACGGTCTCCTGACCCAGGACGTGCCTGTCACATGACTTCAGTCATTGGTGGTGCAGATCCCCTCTGCTGAACTTGTTTCTTTCGGTGATCCGATTCTTCCCCCCCAAAGCACGGGGCTGCTTTAAGTGGAGGAGAGTAGATGGAGGAAGACAGCATCCCAGCCTCTGCGCTGGTGGGTTCAGATCTCTGTAAGTGAAGTCCCACGTGGTC